ATATAATGCATGCAATAAACATGTAGGAAAATATAAAAGTAAAGAGAATTATGACAGAAAAAAGCAGAATGAGTTATATGTACAAATTACCAGGTTTAAGAATTATATATCTGACTTCCTTGATTCTATGCATGAAGTCTAATCATATACCTGGCATATATATATATTGATTATTTTTTCAGAACCTCTTATTTTAGAAAAATAGTACTTATGTGCCTAAGTAATGTTATATCCTCTTTGATGCCTTCTATATTTTTGATAATTTTATTGTGTAAAGCTATGGATTCCAAGACTTTATTTTGGGAGAAATGACACTTTATGTCTGATCAAACTTGTGTCTTGTTTACATCTATTTTCTGATAAGATTACTCAAACAGCAATCCATTCAATTTTGAGTATATATACTGACTTATGATAATTAATTTTAAATTAAAAAAAATAAGTAGATTAATGTATAATCACATTCTACTTATTGATATAGATTATTTACATATTTATCATAGCAACTGTCTGAAAAACTAGAAAACCCAAAACTAATAGCTTTACCTCCATTTTGGATCAGATCCTCAATAAATATAACCTATTGGCTGAATCAAACCTGCTTCAATTATATGCTCATGCTGATGAGCTTAGTACTATGCTACCGGATTGGAAGGCTTGTAAAGATGTGAAAAAGGCTCTCTGTTAGCGCTTATTTAAAAAAAATTAAATAGAAGCTTTGGTTCCAAACAACAAAAAGAAAAGACTTATTATTAAGAAAAAAGCTCAATATTGTGCAAAAACTAAAGATGTGTGGGATATTTGGTTACATGTTTTAGACTTAGTTGTACCAAAAAATAATATAGATGAAGCAATTATGACAGCCAGTTCTCATATTTCACAATTTCATAAAGAGTTAACAGAAGCTAGGGTTGGTTCCAAACAAATTTATATATATGCCAAATTACCAGAAGTTACTCGAGCTTCTAACGAAATTCAAAAGAGGCAACTTGAACAGCGATTACCCAATCTACCTAAAACTCCCAAACACTTTTTCTTAGAGGAAAGACTTAGAAGAATTCAAAATATCAATACTACTAAAATCCCTACTATGCAAGATCTTGCAGATATAATTATAATGTTGAGTATGAAACTCGCCAAAGTTGTCACTCTTTGTATTATCCATTATGAACCTGGTGAATTAAATCCTCCTGAATGGTACAAGTCTGGTTATTCTTAGTATTGTATTAGATATATTAAAAATAAAGGAAAAGCAAAAAATAATCCAGAACCTTGGCAATTTCTATTCATGAAAAAGAATCCAGAACGTGCAAAAGAATTGCTTATCTGGATCCAAGATGCAATAGCAACTGGAAAGTTATGCAATTCCGTCTATAGTATTAATAGAAAATGCAGTATAGGAGTATTTAGTAAATTTTTAAAACTATATAATATTATAGCCAAAAGATTAAGAAAAATCGGAGATAAAAATGCTTCTAGAGTTCAAGGTGGTCAAAATCCAACTTCGCAATATCTTGAATTCCTCAGCAGAATTGCAATGAGACATAAGATAGACTGTTTTGATTCTGGAAAGTATTATGCTAAAGGTGATACTTCTAATTCTGACCTTAACTCAGATCCAGAGCTTGAACCAGAAACTCAAGCTTTTATATCCAAGTCAACTAGTGAGATCACTTTCATAACTGAAATTGAGGATATCTATGACTTATATAGGAGTATCTAAATTAGTTCACTATAACCCAACTTCACTTCTTCAGGCCTGCTTTGCAATAAATCTATCTGGAAATAATCAAACCTATTAGATATTTTTTAGTAAAGTTATATATGCTAACTAACTCACTAACTACACTTACTCTTAAGCTAAATTTTTTGTCAACAAAGATCAAGCAATAATCCTTTGAATTACAAATAATTTTATTTAGTAGTGGAGAATGGGTAATTATTTATCAAGTTATTTTTTGGTTATAATATATATCATTAAATAATATTGCAGAAAGCATCTTATTTCAGCTATAGAATAGAGCAGATAATTCGGTATTTGACAGCCTTCAGCTAATTTCAAACAAAGAATTTTTATTTGTGATGATATATATATATCTGTGATAATTTTCCTTGTTTTACTTTTGATTCTAGACATAGGTACTGATTGTCACTAGCTGATTTTTTGACAAAAATCTTATGCAATTGTTGAAGAGAGATATTTGGAAATAAAGGTAGTTCCTCACCAGTAAATCAAAATTTCTTTACAATTGATGAATTTCTGTATTAACACATTTGGAATATCTTCTAAAGGACCATGAAATTCTTCAAACTTTTGGAGATACATTCTCACATTTTTATCGGCTTCTTCTGCTATTTCTTGATTAGTATAACTAACAATACCAAGTTCTTTCTGAATTGTCGCTATATTATCTTCTAAGCATAAAAGCAAATTAAATAATCTAATTGGTTTATCTGAAGAGGCTTTATTCCTTCTAAGTTCTGCTTCTAAAATGGGATTGATATCTATACCAAGTTTCATCTGTATAGGTATTAAATCCCTCACTAATTCTAACAGCAATTCATATGAATCAGCAAGTTTTTTTGCTTTCTTACTCTCCAACACTGCTGTTTGATTTATATTATTATTAATACCAAGTTTTTTCTGAATAGTTGTTATATCTTTTTTCTTATATAAAAACACCTCATATAATTGAGAAAATTTTTCACTTGGATCAGTATTATTATTAGTATTACTCATCATGATTGTTATAATATGCTAATATAATTAATACGAAAAAATATATAAATTAAGTGAATACAGCAAATTTAATCTGAAAATAATTATAACCACATCATAACTTTGAAATCACATAATGGTATAATGAGTCTCAATGAAGTGATGTCATGTGTTTTAAATCCATGAATTAGAGATCAGCATAGAAGTATTTCAGTACTAATCAACTCACTAACTGCACTTATTGCAGAGCAATGACCCTTCAGATCTACCCTTAAGCATAATTTTTTATCTATGATTGCTAGCAAAGATCAAGTGATCCTCCATACTAAATAATTCGTGAATGAACAGATCACCAAATCTGAAATTAACTTAATAGAATCTGCAAATTAGTTTTGTTAGTCATGAGAAATAAACTATATAAAAAAACTAAGTATAAGTAATTTTGTTATTAAAAACTTATCTGGTAACTCATCATTATTTGTCTCTTACTAATCTTCAAAATCTCATCTTGAATATTTTAAAAGAAACGAAACATAACATAATACAAAATATCATTGTTACAGAATTGCTATCATATAAACTATGTGAAAACAAAATATTATCTGTTAATTTTGAATCATTTACAATATTTTCATGTGGACATACATATCATAGAAAATGTATAGAAAAAAAATTTTTATTTATAACAGAAAACAAATACTCTTTATCTGATTATAATAAAATTATTGATCCAGTAGTATCTGAACTAAGGTTTTCCAAATCATCATCTTAGTCTAGTGGAACTTCAGCTCTTGCAGAAATGTTAGGTGATAACTTTGGATTAGATTCTCCAATGGCTGTATCACCATTATTAGGTCAGAAAGACCCCCAATTTTATGAAAGTAGAATACAAAAAAAATGTATTATAGAATCATCAGATAAATCTGATAAAAGACAGAAGTCAACTACTAAGAAGAGTGAACCCTCTACATTAAAAAAACTTATCAAAGAATTAAAAGATGATAATGTTAATAAAGATTTAATATTTGCTTCTCAGTTATCTGAAGATAGTTATACTTATCTTTACAAAGAAATTGTTAAAGCTAAAGTTGATAATGATATTGCAAGTCAAAAGGTTTTAAATTATTACTTTGAATTTGGTAGAAAGTTATCTGATCGCTTAAATTATTATAAAAATGAAAAAAAATATCAAGATCGTAAGGCCCAAAGTAAAGTAGATAAAGAAGTAAAAGAGCAATTGCCTAAAGAGATTAATGATACTACACGTTGGAAGCAAACAGAAAGAGCCCGAAAAATATATAAGCTTTTTATTAAAATTGGTGTTGATAAAATGCAACAGGTTAAATCTTATTCGGCACTAAGAATTTCAAAATTAAGTTGGGAGAGCATTGACTATATTACAGAGAACTTTAAATCATAAAATCATACATATACTGCGCCTTGTGTAACTGTTACACAGCTGACCTCTGGGTCAGCGACTTTTATTTTATTTTTATTATTTCTACTGTATATTGGGGAATGTTATAATAAATTTACATAAATTTGTTTTATAACAAAATGGCAGACCAAATTTCATATGTATAAGCTTATGTATAATTTGTTTGTTTGTAAATATAAACACAAGTGCCACATATTACAGGTTTGTATTGTATAAAAAAAATTTAGCCACGTATATTATTTTTTTATATATAATATATACAAATAATAAAAAATCGAAATAACAAACTTACAAATAAAAAAAGACAAAATCACTTTGAAAAGTGGCATATCTTTAGAGGCTGGAAGCACGGGTGTAAGGTTTGTGACGAATGCAACCATCATTCGCATCTATATTGCAAAACGTGCAAAAAAGTAGCGAATGGAATATATAAGCGATGTGAATGCGAATAATTAATCTGAGGGATCATCGTGAGTTATGACTAATTAATGCCAAATAAAAAAACAAAATTTATCTGTTATTATATGTACATAATTTTTCACGTAACAAAGATATTCAACATGTGTTAGAATAATTCCGCATATAAAATTTATTTGTACTACCTTACAAGGCTTATCGTTGTGCATAACTAATTTGAGACGGGGCACAAGTAGAAATTGCCATTTCTTTATTTTTCAGGAATTAGTACCCTAACCAAAGTTGGTCAATTAACTCATGCCATAAATTCAGAACATATCGATATGTGGGGAGCCTAACTCCGGACCGAAACCTTATCTGGCCTAAATGCGCACAATGTATGTATGTACGACGGAGTATCATGTCCCTTAATAACGATTTTGACCTTATATAGCTCTATAACTCGTGATGCATATATTTCATAATTTATAGAATTCTTTTGCATTATCGATAGAAATTCTTTGCGTGGAAATACATATCTCAACTTCCATCATAGAAATTTTTTGATGTAAGATTGCGTGTTTTTGCTTCAATCTAACCTTTCTAGCATTTTGAGTTTCAGTGAAGAGATGAAAGAAAATATATAAAAGGGCAGTATCTTAAAGTTTGTGATTATTTATTCCTTTATTAATTTTCTTTATTGCTTTTATCATACACATTAATAAAAACATCTATTATTTTTTTGCGCTTTTTTCAATCATGTCTACTGAGTTACAAATAAAACTTCGTAATTTCTTAATTAATGCAGAAGAACAGCATATAACCTCAGGATCAGTCATCTATAAAGCTATAGAAGATAATCCATGGGTAGAAAAAGATGAATTGAAAGATATTATAAAAAAGGCGATATCATTTGCTAAAAAGAGAAGTATTCAGGGTTCCTTGCGATACGAGATACTTTGTAATATTCTTCCAGAGGTGAGATAGCAAATTTTTATAAATATATAAGTTGTATTGGATGATGTTTACACAGACAGTGGTGCCACTGAGAAAGAGAGTATAATAGCCTAGGTTCCCTATAGCCTGCCAACAGGATTTTTCCTCGACAGTGGGAGGGTTCTTTAGGCTATAAATACATGCTTAATTTTATGTTGTTATTAGCATCACACAAGATTTCATTTCTGTGATGGAGTAGCTAACCTCGCAAAAGTGGAATCTTGATTACATTCTGACAGCGCATGCGCTATTGAAAAATAATCTAATTTGTACAAATAGAAACTAATTCATTTCAATGTCCGTTTTAGTTCGATATTTCATACAAAACAGTCAATAGTTTCCGTGCTCTCGGAATTGTAAAAGTAAATGACGAAAAGCCTCTCACTTCGGAACAAATTCAGAAAAATATCAATAAGTTGAAATCGAAGTTAAAAAAGAAATAGAATGAGAACGTACTATATCAGGATTTATTTTCGGCTGTAAATAAAGTATCTGTATCAGAATTAACTTGGAAGGATCCGTTGGGAAGTCAAGTTATTTCTGACTATTCAGATATAGTACAAAATTTGTCCCCTGACTCGCAGAAATCTTTTATGGTAGGCATTGAATGTCGATCTAAAGAACATGAATAGTATTCTAACACAATCTGTCATTAGAAAGTAGTTCCAAACATGGTGCCTGAATCTCTTCCGCCAATCGTAGAAAATAGATGCGGTGAATTTGTAAGGAATTTCGTTACTTGTGGTCATACTCAGTTACCTCAGGCACTTATACATGATGGAAAATGGAAGGAGTCGGACGAAAAGTTAGCTGAAGTCACGAGTAGGATCTTGGAAACATTGTAAGAAATTTGGTAATCTCTATAATGTTAATTATCTATTCTATTAATCTATTCCTTTTTAGGAATAACTCTTGGAATAATCCGGCATTTGGCCCAGAACATGCTGAGTCGCTAAACGAGGGGACATATGTAACTAACATGATAGTACCCGCAATTCAAGCTTCATTAAAGAATCTTCCCTATGGAAAGAACTGCTATATTAGCACGTAAGTTAAATAATATCGAACTAATATTTCATGCTTGATATGAACTTTTTATATCTTTTATAGTTTCGAGTGACAAAGCATTGCCAGCGCGGATAGAAGGGGAGAAGGGCGATCAGGAAGACGGCCGGATATATTATTCGTTATGAAAAATAAAGGTAAAAAATATGAGCTTATGTATAGTGAGTGCTCACGTTTGTTTTGTACCTCTCAGAAGATAGATGATGATGCCATAAAGTTATGGCGCGAAACAAACGACAGTATGTATTGGGTCTACAAGGGTTGTAGACCTGAGAAAGATGAATTTGGGATAATCGGATTTAGTGTTATGGCCTAAACCGAAACTTTCGGCCAGGCGAAACTTCCGAAACCTCCGAAACCTAGTTTCGCCCATGGTGCCAAGTCCGAAACTGGGCGAAACGTCCGAAACTGAGCGAAATGTCCGAAACTGGGCGAAACGTCCGAAACTGGGCAAAATGTCCGAAACTAGGCGAAACGTTCGAAACGTCCGAAACTGGGCGAAACTAGGCGAAACGTGATCTTATCTCTATCAAAATTAACATATCACGTGACTCAGACTTCGATACGACGATTTAAAAGTCACGTGACCTCTGCACTTAAATTTGACCAATGGAATTTATAAATGTCATGTGACTGTTATACATAAAATTGACCAATGAAATTTCCAAAAGTCACGTGACCGCGGCACCTAATATTGACCAATGGGATTTTTAGAAATTCTATTGGTCGATTTTAAATGCAGCGGTCACGTGACTTTACAAAAAATCGTTGCATAAAAGTCTGTGTCATGTAATATGTTAATTTTGATCAAGTTTCGTCCAGTTTTGCCTAGTTTTGCCCAGTTTTGGATGTTTTGCTCAGTTTTGGATGTTTTGCTTAGTTTTGGAGGTTTTGCCCAGTTTTGGATGTTTTGCTCAGTTTCAGAAGTTTTGCTTAGTTTTGAACATTTCATTTAGTTTTGGATGTTTTGTCCAGTTTCAGACATTTTGCTTAGTTTTGAATTTGGGGCAAAACTGAAACTCAAAAGCTAAAATGTTTTGGACTTTGGTAAAGAGTTTAGGCCTTAACACTAATTGGATTACAAGTCATAGGATTTTTGTTATGATTAACGGTACTTATTAGGGATAATATCAGTGTGAATTGGTATTATCACTTACATGAGTCAGAAATTCTTATTCAATATTCAGATTCTTGTATAGTGGTGGAATTTATAAAAACTTTATTGATACTTTGTAATATTTTAATCGTTAACATAATATTGATACTTTACAGATATTTACTCAAGTCAGAAAAGCAAAAAGAAAATAGTTTAACTGTTGATTCTGATTCAGATTAGATATTATAATATTACTGTATCATGTATTTTTTATTATATTAATAAAGAAAGTTTTCTTGTATTTTATTTTTTATAATAAAGCTGGCCAATTTTATATAGATAATCATGTTTACTTTGCATGTGTATTTCACAAATTCATTTTATTATTTTTACAAGTGTATTTTTGAGATTAATCTGGATACATTAATATTATTGGGTATATATCGAGAATTTTTCTTGATATTTTATACTTTTTAAACTTAGTTCAGAGATTTTTATCATGTATGTATATCCCTATGATAAAGAATTGAATATGTCAGCACCTTATATAAAACAATAACAAACATATAATATACAATTGTTTCACTAAGAGAATTAAATACCAAACTTACAGTTGAGATTAGCAAACTTAGAAAAAAGTATGCTAAGATTAAAGCTAAGAATATCAAAGTTGAAGCTGAGAATACAAAATTAAAACAAGACAAAGAAGAGGTTGAAGCCAGATTCCTGAATCTAGAACAGAGAGATAGAAAAAAAACTGATCTTATTACTAAACTGAAACATGATGTCTTACCAATCAAGGAGCAGAGCTTGCAAAACAGAGGCAATAGATATACTAACAACATATCTGATAATGCAGAATATTGAACATCTGATTCTGATATATACCAAGTAAAGAATAACCATTCTTCTATACCTCCTAAAACAAATTATAATTATGAAAACACCTTAGCATTTGATATAACTAATGATACTTCAAATTCCAACATATGTCAAGAGACAAAGACTCAGCTGGAGGTTGGTTTATATCAATGCTTCACATCACTAATTTGTATAGAAAACAAATCTTTAGAGGATAAAATGATTGATGAATTTTTAGACCTAAAAGAAAAGAAAAGGGTTAGTAATATAATAAGAGAGAAAAATAGAGAAAAGAAGCTTGGATCTCAAGATCCTTTATCATATAATAAAGATATTTCACAATCTAGCAAAAATAAAGTACAGAAATTCATAGCAGAAGTTTCTAACAACTCTAGCTTATTTATTAGTAATAGTAATGCAGACAATAATGTAATACCTACAACTCTGAATGAAACAAAATCTCAACCCAGCAATAATAGCTTCATATTTTTATACAAAAAACTTTGTAATACTATAATTCTCACTGACTGTAAAATCCAAAAAGCAATCTTATGTTATTGTACTTTTGGTAAAGCTCTCATTCAAAGATGTAATGAATTAGCATCAGAAAAACAAGTTGATCCAGAATCTAATACAGTTAGTAGAATTTTAAATAAGGAAGTTTGTGCTCAGCTTTCTGCAAATATTTCTGATGCACTTTTATGAAAGAGAATCGAAAAGGCTAAAAGCTTTACAAACTTTTCAGTGCAATAGGTATAGATAAAATTTATCAAATACATTTCTTTTCTGCTAATAGTATCTCAAAAATGACAAACAGAGATATTCAATATATTATAGATAACGTACTATTTGATTATAGTATTAAGATAGAACCCACCCTAAAATTCGAATTTTCTGAACCGAGTTTAGGAAGTGATTAGCAAATTTTTTACAAAAAAAAAAATAAAGATTCAGAATTTTCAGAAACAAAGGTAACTACTACAATCACTTCCTCTATCTTATTGTCCCATACTTCTAATTTGGGCGATAAGTTAAGTAATGATTGAGATTTCAATTCATCAAAAGTCAAGATACAGATGAGCATGCCCGATGATAAAGATTCCAACTATGATTATGATGAAGAAAATTTCTCCAATGACAACAACAAAGATGATGATAAGGATGATGAAAGCTTTTGTAGTTTTCCTGATGACAATGAAGGTTATTATTATGATTTAAATACTGGTAAAACTTATACAAAATCAGAACATCATTATTCAATTCGCGCATATTAATAATGACATAATACTAATTCTTCAAATAAAAATTCATTTTGCAGAAAAATAATTAATACTTTGGTTAGATACACATAAAAATAAAAAATGGTGAGCCCATAGAACCCTCTTTTTATTTTATAAAAATGTTGCCAGAACAACAATATACAAATAAAATATATATATTTATTATATAATAAAAAATACTCTTAACAGGTTAGGTTGGTGGGGTTTACATTTGATCTAACATTTTCTTCCACTGACCAGGATTTAACTAATTATTATCATCATTGTCCCTATCATGTTTTAGGTTTTCTTTTTATATTTTTTTCCAGGTCTCATCATCTAATTTTTAGTAAAATAAAAAACTTAATTCTAATAATTATATTTTAGCACGAATGTACTGACATGGCACAAAGTTTACTTACAAGATAAAAATTCTTTTAGCTTGTATTGTCATTTTGATTTAGAATAGTTGAGGGTCTTATTTTTCTTGTTCTTAGAGATGGTGGTTTTTTTGTTACTGCTCATTTTTTGTACCTAAATACAAAAAACAAAGTAAGCAAAAATTCGTTTTTATAGTCTCTGTCAAATGAAATAGCAAATTACTTAAAAAATAAATTACAGACAAGTAAGTCAAGTAAAAAAAATATGAGCAAAAAAATAACATTATTGCTTAACTCACCTTATGAGGGAAATCTGCTTATTTTTATATTGTTCATTCGCTAGATCTAAAAAACTTGCTAAAAAAAAAGTTATATGATTAGTAATTGCATTACCCTAACACAAGCAGACCACACTTAACAAAGCAACTCTGTTTCGGGCATAAGTTCTAAACACTAGATCTATTCTACAGTTTTTAGATAAATTAACCCCCTTAGATTCGATGATCGCTACTATGCTACAAAGTAAAAAAGTCAAGGATCTCGACGATCTGGAATTCTAAAACCCTGCAACATATGAATTTGAATAAAACTACTGATAAATAATGTTATACTCTTTCCTCTTATGGCCTATTTAAGTCCTATTTGTGATTTGTTCTTATTATAGGATTATATATAATAAGAAAAGGGTTTAGTTATTCATAATATTTGTTATAAATCAAAAATTGACTGTAAGAAATTAAGATAACATTGCATAAAGTTTAATGCAGGCCATTAATTATTAAAACTAGTCAAGTTTTTATTGTTATTTTAGCTTCGATCTAGGCCAAAATAAAAGTGAATCTGCAGGACTATTAAATAATATATACTTATTTTTTCTAGCATGGATCAATATCACCAACAGATGTAAGGTTATTTTTGATAGCTATTAACAGTAAAAAAATGTGATGCTAGATGTTTGATCAACATGTTTTGTTATAATAGCATAAATAAAGAAGTGCATAGCACTTATTCTAAATTTGTAAATCGGGCTTAGGGATATATAGCATATAAAATTATTACTATACCCTGTATAATCAAAATATCTGCTAACAATCTAATTCCAAATATAGAAAATGTGCAAATGTTGGTTGATTTACCGTATTCAATAATTGTGATACTGAATTTAGTAAACATGCAATTGTTTGTTTGTTAGTAATTATTATGATGCCAAATAAAAATTGTTAGTTGACTTGTGTTGGATTATTGCAATGCCGAGTCATTTATATTGTATATTGCTTCATATCAGATTGTTATGTACTAAATAAGAATAAGTCATAATTTATAATAAAAAGGTTATCCTTACTACAAAGTTCTGTTCTGAATTTGTTAGTTTTCAAGAGAACATCTTAAAAATTTTTATTTTTGTTTTTATAAATCACATACTTGTGTCAACATTATGTCACTATAAAATACACCCACTATGTCAAAGGCCTCTAAGAGAAATTTGCATAAGAAAGAACTATGCACTATAAAAAAAGCTAAAATTGAAAAATCTGATAGCCCAATTATTGAAGAAGGTGATTCCACACTCAATTCTAGTGCTAATCAGATCGAAGAAATGAATATATTTTATGATTCTCTAAAAGTATATAAAGTATCTATTACATTTAGTTTTATAGTATAGTCTTCTTAAAGGCAGTTTTCGTCTTTTAAGGCAGGCCTAGGATCTAACTGTTCCCTCCCTATTCAGAGTTACATTTTTTTTTTTATCTTGGGCATAATCATCATTCTTGATGTAGGGCATGTGTGAGGTAGAAGGTGATGCAGACTTCATGGGTTTTAAACTCTCCAAACTACACTACATAAAGTGATTCGAATGTATCCACTAAGAAAATTATATTACTATTCACAATAAAAAAATTTGTATATCAATCTAACAATTTTTTAAATATATATTCTCTAGCACAAGACCCAGAGTGGAACCTGTTTATCTACTAAAACTCAAATTCAAGAATATATTCGATCTTATTAGAAGTCTGAAGATTTTGTTGCTAGTGATCTTAAGACAATAATAGGAAAAAATTCTACAGTAACACATAAATACTGAAGTACTGTACACACCATAATTTATACCGATTATTTTTTTAATATGGTTATGTCTCATAGTATAAGAATGGTTTGCATCTAAAATAATACACATATTTGTTTATAGGCATTTCTTTTGAATATTTATTTTTATAGTGAATCCAAAATCACAATATGTAAAATTAAATATTGGGTGAACATCTACATGATGTTTTATATATGACCAAATCATTTAATAGATCAAAATTTGAATTATTTATTGCTGTTATACAATTATCATAAGATGTAGGAATATTTATGGCTTAGGAAAGCCACTTCTAAAAACAAATATGAGGCTAATCCTCTTCATTTATATTTTCCATACAGGAAGGTTGGCTACCTCCTATATCGGGCATACTAATATCACTATCATTTTGTGATGCAGATATATTAGGATTTGAGGTAATATTTGCCAAATTAGATAAAGATAAGTATGTCACATTATTTAAATTTTTACCTACATCATTAGTGTTATGGCCTGAATTTCCATCTGCATTATTTACATTATTTATATTATCTCAATTAGTAGTTTCATCTCTTCTGATAGGAATTCTCTGGGCCAGAGATGCAGATCGATCCCTTTGACTGGCAGAAGATTCATAGCGACTCATATTTAGCATTGATAAAACTTCTTCGTAGGTTGGTGGTGGAGTGCAGTTTTGCTGTCTTTCTTCTCTTCTTCTTCTTGAAGATGCATTTACATTATGTATCTAAACAAACTGTGTTTCTAGATTTTTTTATACATAATTAACAAATTAATAATTTGTTTCTATTTCAAAGACATCTACAGCAAAGAAAGATGAATGTTCGAGATTAATGTAGAACCTTACCTGGTCTCTTCCAAAAACATGAACAGAATTTCTCAAAGTATCGTACTCCAGTTCTGGTTCTACACCCTGCATGATTTTCTGCCATATATTGGCACATCAACTAAAGAGGATCAAGAAAATCATTAGGATATAACCTAATTATGGTTCAATTTGTCAATAAGTGCCTTTGGTAAAAATACTTACAGTGTAATCCCTTACAAGATTTTGAAATTTACCCTTGCATTGATATCCCATATAGTTGGTACTAAATCTCTTATTAATTATATTCACAATATTATTCCAAAAACTCACCCTACTACTTCCAAGAATATCGTGATACTCAGCATTTTTATTTCTTTTATCAGTAATTAATAAGTGCAATTGATCATTGGTTCATATCACTAAGATTCTAACATGACTCAACCACGATACACCTGTTTTTCATAGAATTATATAAAAAAAAAAATACTGCAACTCAATCATGACTCAACAATGATTAGTATTATTAGCTGTTACAACCAAATTAATCGTCAGATAATCACGGTATAGCATCCTAAAGAAGTATGATTTTTATCATATCTCAGACCAGATGATCCAAAATAAAAAATTTCATATGAAATAGAAATCGAAAGAAGGAGATAAGTAGTTAGAATTACATTAAAAATTTATTAATATAGGCATATTAAACAATAATCCAAAGGGTCGAGTCTCTGATTTTTTGTAAAATATAAAAATCAGATAAGTAGGAAACTAATTTCGGGTTTGGGGATCAATTCATTCACGAATTAATTAGTATGAGCTGGGGGGTTGCTCAATCTTCTGTTGCTCTTGATTTTATAGGCTTCTTCAATTTTTTTCTTTGGTATAGCATGTGATATGTATTATAAAGTAATGGCACTTACATGCCTGATTGAACATCTGTATTATGCTCGATTTTATTACTAGTATTATGGCTTTGGGAAAGCAAATATTTGTAATTGGCATAATCAATGTTTACACATACATAATTTTTATTCACATAAGAAAAAATGAATTGTGATATTCATTAGTATATAGTTATTAAATCAAATAGGTCTAAATCCCTAAATATAATATAAAACACTATAATACATTAAATTATTTAATCATTAAATATGGTCTATACAGATAATTGTCCAGTTTTAAATGATATTGAGTGGAGGGATAACTGCCAATTTTTAGTAATTCGTGATGGAAAAACACCATCTAATTTAAAGAACTGAATCTGAAATCAATTTGTGAATTATAGAAATAACAATAAATTGACTGATTACAATAAGTGATATCTTATTGTCAGAAAGATGGAATCTACAGAAAGATTCAGTTATCATATGGCAGTTAAAGTAAATATTGCTATATGTTATAGCTGTGATTAGTTTGTTTATATTGATAAAAAAGTAGGATATGAATTATATTACAATTATAAGATGGAGGAATATTGACGTACAAATTGTACTAGAAATAGACATTGTGATATATGTTTCAAAGAGTATATAGAGCTTAAACAAAAACCAGAAATTGAAAGCGATATTTACACAAGGTTAGCTATTTATCAATATAAATTACGAATAGAGAATCTTATCAATAGAGTTAAACATATTCGAGAAATAGCAAAAAATATCTGAGCATGTACAACTATACAGAGGAAATAGCTAAAGTATTTCTACAGACCTGAAGGTATATGTGCAACAGAACTTGCTCAATATTATAAACTCTTATGGGGAATTCGAGAGGAAATGTGCCAAATTAACAATATATAGACCATGTCTGCAAAGCAATTCATATATTTATTTATTTGATTTAATCTATTTATTCGATTTATTAATTATATAACATATCTATTTAAAATAAAACAACCTAAAGTATTCCTGAGGGCTAGTACTTTAGACTTTATTTTGTTATCTCTGAAGGCTGGTAACATTTTTTTGCATAGAGTAGTTGTTCATCGTTTTCCTAATGCTATTCTCAAGATCACAATTAGGTATCTTTTTATCAATAATTTTCTTGCATAGCAAGTCACTTTCATATCTCTAAGTATATAATATAATTAAATGCTTTGGAAGTTTGTGAACAAACAAATCATCTTGGCTCTTTATATCAACTCAGGTAGAAAAGTGTTGATGTAAAATAAAAATCACACCTTTTTGAGACTTTATCTCTTGAAGCCAGAAAAATAGATAGCAGAAATATACATATTACCTTTATATATATTATCCTAGTAGCTTACACTATATCTTTTTTCTGAAAGATGAAGAAAAAAAGTAATTAATACTAATAGACTTTTTATTTCTGCGAAGCAAGACACTTATGTGGCTGATTTTTCAGTTTTTTTGGGTTCAGAATTCATGAGCTCAGCTAGCAATGCATTGTTTATCTTGTGCTTTTAATGTAACTCTATCTCTTTCTGCAAATCCAGTAGAGTATTGAATCTTAAACGAATTGCTAATAGATCATCCTCTGACCTAGTAAGATCAAATACAATAAATTTATTTTTTCGAAGGTAACTATTAATAACCATTGATGCATTCTTAATATCATCAGCATATCGTCCAATTATTTTGGACACATCCTGATAACTACTGCCCTCATTAAATATTAGTAGATGGGATAAATTCTCATGAATAATTACTGAAACATGATGATATTTTTGTGTTATATAGATTGGACTTATATTTCAATGATGCCTATGTATGAAGAATGAAATAATTCAGTTTTGAATGGACTCTAGAGAAACACATAAATCCTCAAAAACAATTATAGTACTTCTCTCAGGTGAAAATGACTTTATGCTAGAAATTTTTTCAGGTAAAATATATTTAAATCTAATATTTTCATAATATAGTGCTCTTGGATCACTTGCAATTACTCCATACATATATCTAACAAATGCCCATTTAGGTTTATCTGGGTGATATCCACAAACTATCAAATCATCACATCATATATAGTGGGATCCACTCTTTTTCTTTTTATATATATATTCAGCTTTGTCACCAAGAACAAAATTTCTGAGTATATTAGTCTTACCTGTACCACTTTTTCCTATAACTAGCTTAGTGAATGGTCATGACATTGCTGGATATCCAATACAGCATGATGAAGCATACTTTGTAGCCTTATCAATATCTATAAGGAAAAGTTTTATTGAAGGTAATCCTGTTTTTGAGTTTTTCTGCATGACAGATTGGGAATCCATAACTCTCTTTTCTATAGACTGGATAAAAATTTTCTTTTCCTCCCCCCCGATAATTCACTTCACTTTGTTTGTTTATGATCAGTTTATATATTCCAAAAAACAAATTACCAGAGGCAGTCATACTGTGGATATAATCTGGCTTTGAGTTTAAAGAATGAGAAGGCAGGGTTGGACAAAAAATTTGCCTGTATATATATCATATAATTAATAATATTATTAAGGCAAAAATAACAAACTTAATAGAAGTATTTTGATACTTATTAACTATGCTAGCACCTAATGCTATAATAGGTAATTCCTTACTCCTTCCTATTGTAATATTATGAGATCTAATTAGAGTCATATTCTTTATTTCTTGAAATTAGTTTTCTGCATTGATTGGTTGTAATATATTATCTTTATTATTTTCATTAATAATAGTTTCATCACTTATCTTAGAAGTAACCTTAGTATCGATTTTTGAAGATTCTAATATTGGACTAATTTTATCATTGGTATGAGTCAGTATATCAGTGCTAATTTTTTTGACTTCATTCATAATTTTTCTGCATGCAAAATATTGACTGAGATTTTTGCTAGTTTTACTAATTGCAGAGATATTATTATTGCAAAGCAACGATGATGCAGAGCAAGACTTAGCCTCTTTCTCTTCGGGTCTAGACTTTGATATATTTTTTTCACTATCTTCACCAACCACAGATACTAAAATATCCTCTGATTTTAGATGCTCAAGCTTACTGATCTTAGAATCTAATTCAATCTTTATATTCACCAATTCAGCTTTGAGAGACATTATCTCAGAATCTTTTTTTGATGAGTATTTCTGAGTTAAAGATAATTCTTCTTCCAATGACTTGATTCTAGATTGGAATGAATTCGCTTCTTTTAGTTTACTATAATATTTGGCTTTATACTTAGTAAGATTGGTATTTTTGCTTTTCAACTCTTTAATTTTTTCTTTGAGTTGTTTTTTAATCAAGTTATTTTGATTTTTGTCATTAATGTACCAATTTAATTTTTTCTGAAGATGTAAAATCTTGGCATTTTTTTTTTCTAGCTCTTTAGTAATCACATTAATTACGCTTCTGCAAGAGCTTTAGCATTTCTAAATTTGAAACATTTATTAGCGAAAAATTCGGTTTCAAAAAGCAACTTATTGCATTGAGATTCAAGTTCACGTTCTTTACTATCTAATTTATATCCACATCCTTGAAAATTTTTGGCATCAGTAGATTCACTATACAAAGTATATATTGGTGGCATATAATCGAAAAGAATTATGTTCAAAGAAAAAAAACTAATCACAATTTGACTTTTTACTGATTATGAATAAAAAGGAACCCAGATAATAATTAGTATTTAACCAGGCAATAATTAGGTGAAAGTTAGTAATTAGCTGGGCAAAAATTAATACTTAGCTAGGCATAAAATAATAATTAACCAGTTTTATATGAAAATAGATCTATAATCAAGTCAGTACTAATTATTTCTCAGTTTTTGTCTGATTAGTGTCTGATTATTGTCTGATTATTACTCAGTTTTTATCCAATTATATACTAGAAATGAATAGATATTTTCTTAGATTTAAATTAGATATTTTTTTAATATCATTATATATTTTTCTAAAATGGTTAAAACCAAAGGTAGATCTTGAGTTTGACAATATCTTAACCCTACTGCTACTCCATTAACTTCTGAAGCAATCGAAAAAATAAGGGATGCTTATGCAAAACAGATACCAAATAGAAAACACATTATGTATGCTAATTATAAAATTGATAGTAAAAGATATGATGATATTGTAAATGGCTGGATATATCTTCAACCACCTGAAATAGAAATAACATCTATAAATTTATCTATCTCAATACCTCAATCAGAAATCTTGCCTATATATAGCTTATCAAGTGTTAAAAATTCTGAGCAAGTAATTTCTTTGAGCAAACCAGTGACAAAAAAGACTAGCAGAAAAAAGAAAGTCTCACAGAATGAGGAACTTCCTAGTTCTAATATTAATAAGACAAACTCTAATGTAGAATTATCTAAAGATGAAGATCGATCAAAATCAAAAACTATAAATTATTTTATCTCATCAATACCAGGGAGTGATGTGCAAGCTAGAATGGAAAATTTATGAGAATATAAAAAACAGCTTCAAGCTGAATCTTGAAATCATATCAATTTTTTTTAAGATATTCTGCATAATCAAGAGCTCTAATAAATTTCTTTTTAATAATTGCTTTGTTTTCTAGATTTTTCATATCTGATATAATTTGAATCTTGGAATAGAATTCTAATCTGTGAAAGAAATTGATTTGTTTGTCAGAATCTATTATGTTTAAAGCCATATCAAGCCATTCTTCAGTCTTTATAAGTTGCTTTTCAAGTGCATCATATTTTTTTTTAAGTTTTCACCATTATGCATATCTGATGTTCATTGCTCTGGTTCACTAACTCTTGGAGGCTTACTAAAAGTTGGAATAGTGTAAGTCTTCCTATGTAACTTCATTTGAAATTGGTTTTTACTAGGGTCAAGAACACCATGAACCTTTTGAATCTATATCATACCTATGTATAGCATTGGTTCAGGTTCATCATTATTAATATGAGCAAAATTTCTAGTAGATGTAACAATCTTATTATCTTTGTCCTTTACACTAATTGGCACATCTGTATACCATTCTAATGATTCAGATATATGTTTAAAATTACCTTTTATAGCAAAGTCAGAAGGCTTATCAGCTCTCCACCCCAGGGTGTTAATTGTTGCATCATTCACTTCACTGAATTCACTTGTGCTATCTAAAAAAGAATTAGTGATCAATAGATCATTTATATTACAATGCAAGTATTGCAATGACGAAAACCATTCATCTGATTTTAATTCTTTTTCCTGGACTATATGAGACTGACATATTTTACGCATTGCTGGTAAAAGCTTTGGTAATAGTTTATTGTATTTTTCAGGCTGACTAAGTTATGGAAGCATTTTTTCATTTACCAGTGTCTGTTTTTTTTTCTGACTGAGATGGAGCATGCCATCTATTCTCTTCCTCATTATATTCACCTTCTTCATCCTCATCATCATCCAAATCAAGAGATGCATCTTGGAATTGGGAAGGTATTAGAGAAGGAAAGTATCGATATGTTAAATTTGATTTAGTTACAGATTTTTTGGATTGATTTTCAAGCATCATCCTCCCAAATTGAGATATCATTTGACCGATTTCATCTATTTTCAATTCTATTCTATCTATTTTAGCATTTTGATTTGATAAATAAAATTGTTCTGGACAAGGTTTTTGAAAAGGCTTTATAGAAAAATTTCTGTCAAAATCTTCTGTACTAAATATATCTAAATTATATAAATATTGTGTTAAGTTATAATTTTCTATACCTTTTTTTGTTTGTAATGAAAGTGGTTGACCTCTTGGCTGTCTAACTGGTTCGACAGTTTGTGAAGCTGGTGCTTGTGCCTTTTGAGCAACTGCTTGCTGGGCCATTTGTGATTGAAAATCAGCTTTTTGCTTTTTTAATAAAGACTGATATTCAGTTTTTTCCTATGTCAGTACGTTTTGGATTGCTTTTTGCATATCTTCTAAAGAAATTCCTTGCTGTTGAGGAGCTGAAATAGGTAAGGGTTCATATATTTCTCGAGATGCTCATTGAGATACTAGTGGATCAGGTATTCTATCTCTTTTATGTCTAGCAATTTATCATAATTCTATCTCATAAAGCTTTTTAGTTAATTCATCTAATGGCAAATGATCACTAATATCCTTAGCTTTTTCAAGCCATAGAATAGGAAGAGCATCTAAGAACTTATTACATAATTCTTTGGGCCTATAGTTAGCTCATCTACCTATTCGTAACAATTTTTTATATAATTCATTTATAGTCATATTTCCTTTTCTAATTATTCTATATTGCAAATCTCAAAGCTCTTCTTCTATTGTAGGAAAATATGTTTTTAGCCACCATATGACTTGACCAAAATAAATGTCAGCTACAATTACTGTAGTACTATTATTAGCATTTGGTGCATTAACTGCAATGTTAGTAGAATGACTACCTGTTATACGCCAATCTTCATTCCAAGAACCCTCTACAGCTCTTAATTTGACTATTGTATTACCAGGTTGGCCGAGTGCCTTATTCAATGCTTGATTTCCTATTTGAACTACTGTACTCCTGTATAGCTATTAAGTTGGCCTGCTTTGTATTATCAAGTAAGTTTGCTAATTCCCAATTCTGTTTTGTAGTAATCTCTTTATCAAACTATTCTAAAGCTCTTTCTTTCATATATCCTCTTAAATATCCTATAGCTATTTCTCTTCCTGTTGGTAGACCTCCTACATTATCTGCTGGATTTACTCCTTGGTTTTGCAAATATAATCTAAGTTTTGCAAAGAAATCTGATATATCTTCATCCTAGTCAAAAAATAGTTGCAGTATTCCTGCCATTCCTATTTGTTGTATATTAGGTGGATTATTCTGTAATGCAAAAATTTGTTGATTTAAAATTAAAATATTTTGGTGCTCTGCATGAGTCTTATTTTTCCACTTCTTATATCATTCATATAACCTATCTCGATTATATTCTAGCAAAGCTTTATCAGCTCTGCATCATTATAGGTGATAGGCATTTTGCTGATACAATAACTAGAAAGCAAAATTTTTACATATTAATGCACTGATACAGGTTTGCTTTATTGTTATATTATTTATCATTCTGTTTACTTAATTCTAAGAATTAGTCCATAACTAATGAAGTTCAAGCAATACCTGGTCTTGCTCCTGTCTGTATATATCACGATTCCATCATTCATTCATCAGATCTTGTTGCAGGTTAGTATATTTACACCAAATTGCTCTTGTTGATCTTTTAATTTGATTTGTTAAAATGGTTCTACATATTGTTGTATTATCTAGGAATTGGTTTATAGCATCAGCCAATTCAGCTATTGTATTCATATTATCAGAATTATACAAGTCTAGAGAATTTTCATCAGAATCATATTCATTTTCACCAAAATTCCATGCCTGTGCATTTTGTAAAGCCTCTTGTGTATTTCTAAGTTCTAATCTATTTCGATATCTTAATAATGCTAATGCAAAATTTTAACAAAGCAGGTCTGTAATACGATTTTTTTGCTAGGTTATTTTGTTAATCCTATTTATTTAGTTAGTCCTTATTGTATTTATTTCTCGTTTAAGTTGCTCATTTTTATTCACTAATCTTGTTGTATAAACTTGTGCTTTAGGAGTATTGCCACCTGATTTTGATATTTCATTAATTCTGGTTTTTAATTTTGTCTTTCGTTCATCAAATTCTGATATTAACTTGTTCTTATTAGAAATCTCCTTATCTTTCTTTTTATTTTCTTTCTCAAGTTGGTGAACGATTCTTTTGAGTTTTGAGATTTCTTCTAATAATTCTTCTTTGTCTTGTCTAGAAAGCTCGATAGTGTTATTTAACTCTTTTTTAAGATATCGTATCCTTTCTTCATGTATACCTATAACTTTTTCTAAGGTATATAGCTGTTGTTCAAAATTTTTATTTGATTTAGCTAATTGTGATACCACTTCATAGAGACTTGGTTGGTTTGTTGTAACTCGTCCATTGTTTTTTATTGACTATAATGCTGTCTACTCACAAGTTCATGCCCAAATATATATTGTTAACTATTTTTTATTATACTATATAATCCTGACAATGAGAAAAATGAATTGGCAAGAAATAGAGAAACCCGTAATTTATATTGACCTACAAAGGGCCTGTGATTTGGATAGAGAGATTGTTAAAGCTAAAAGAATAGAACAGCCCATAATAAATATTAGTCCTCAGAGAGCTTATAATTTGAATAAAGAGATTGTTTTGCAGAAATTATATTACCAACCTGAAGGTTATTACCAAAATGCTGAAAAATTACAAGATGCTTGTAGGAAGGCTTTATATAACTTTCCACTTGCTATGATAAAAAAATGGCTCGAGTCTCAGAAAATGCATCAAATTTATCGTTCCTTACTAAAGAATGCACCTTATGCTAGTTATTTTAGAATCTCAAAACCTAATTGTGTTCATCAGTGCAATTTAATTGAAATACCTTATGATGAAGATAAGTATATAAATTTATTGAATAAAAATAGTGAAATATTTTATTATGTATTATTAGTTATAGATTGTGCAAGTACAAGTAGATCAACAACACTCTCCTCGACGATCACTTGGACACAAAATCAGTAGAAAAGAAAATAGATTTTCTGCATAATCAGCAATAAGAAAGGCTACAAAT